ATTTAATAATAAAATAAAATAATAACGAAGAAGAATACTCAATTTAACTTGAAAATTCTCTTAAGTGAGAGAAAAATTATGAAAACAAAAAAAAAATTCATTATTAAAAAAATTACAATACTAAAAACCTAATCTCACTCTTAATCTCTCCCAAAAATCCTCTCTTAATTTTGTATATTTTTCTTACATATCTAAAAGTTCTCAACAACATCTAAAAAAATCTTATTAACCACTCATAAATTTAAAGTTATTTTCAACATTTTAATTCAATAGAGAAATTTCATTAAACGTGGGACACCCTATTAGTTGATGGATGATATCAATTTTCTGTATTAAAATTAAAAAATATATTTTAGGAATTAACTCATATTCGAACCAAGAAATTATTCTGGCAACAAAAAAAAAAGGGAAGAAAATGATTGCTAATTTGCCATGGCCTATGTGAGATATGACACGATGTTAGACCCAAAATATTCCACTCTTACGACTTATCGTTAACAAGTAAGATACAAACGAAGACACTCCCTGCATGCGTAGCACAGAAAGCCAGAATAAAACTGCTCACGTGTTGAACTTCATTAAGCAGCTCGATGGGGTGTGTCTCTTTTAGGGAGATGGGATATTCATTAGATTTTGAGATCAAATCTCTAGTTGTTAACAACTAATAAAACTAACTTACTAATTATTGTTTCATAAAAAAAAAAACTGCTCACTTGTTGACGTGGCGCAATACACCTAACTGGGACTGCAGCATGGGCGGGCGAAAGTTTTTTCTTTTTTAAAGAACAGTAGCACCTGGCCATACAGGCCAATTAGACAAAGATGCACTCTCCCAAGTCCCAGCCCTATGGGCTGGTTCAACTTCAATCCCCTCATTCCTCAAAAATTGCCCTCGTTAAAAATAATAATAATAATAATATAAAGATAATTTTTTATATAATTTTTATATATTATTAATAAATAGATATATTTAATATTTTAAATTTAAAATAAATAAATTTAATTTTTTAAATAACGTATAAAATTATATTAAAAATAATGTAAAAAAAATTTATCTAAATTATTTTCCAATGATATTTTTCATCGGGAGATTGTGTTATATAAATAAAATTAAGATTACATGTAATTCCTATCTTATCTTATAGAATGTATAGTGAAAGTAAAAGCATATTTTATAAAACATGATATAAATTTAAACTATATTCATAATAAATACAAATAATTAAATATAAAAAATTATTTGTATTTAAATATTATCTTAATAATTATTATTGGGGTATAAATTAAATTACTAACATAAAAAAAGGTCCTACAAATATCTTTAATTATTAAACATTCCCACTTATTGTATCAAATTATTGAAAAGAACAAGTATTTAAGTTATCAAATTAATCGTCTAAGGCGTCTCCTTTGCTGTTCCGACCAACTCGCGTTTTCAATTCCGCATTGATTCCCGGCGGATTTGGCTCTCTGTTCTCTGTGTTTTTTTTCGGCTGCAGAAACGAGTCACCCTATGTATCCTCAATCTTACCCTGCTCAGCCTCGCCCTGCTCAACCCTATCCTGCTCAAGGTAATTCATTCCCCTTTTCCTTTTGATTCTTAATTTTGTCTCTCTGATGTTTTTCTTCTGATTTTGCATTACAATTGATGAACCCTTGATTTTTTAGTTTAATTATTGTTGATTAAAAAAAATCGTTTTTTTCTTAGAGAATAAGCCGTAGATTTTTCAAATTAAGATGCTTTTTTAGTTTTGTAATTGCTCAGCTATCATGGTTTACATAGGTGGTTCTCCGTTGTTAAGAATTTCTGGGCTTTTATGGGCCTTACTTTCTTCTGCGCTAAATTTTCCATTTTGGGTACTGATTAATTCTGTAAATTTTGGTTTTTTTAATTTTTGGTGACAGGGTATTATCAGGCACCCCCAGTAACGGCACCTCCACAGTACCCAGCCCCAGCAGCACGCCCTAGCAAGCTGGCTCGTTGCAAGATTGTCCTTGACATATGGTAATTTCTTTTCCTACCATGTTTCTGAGACTCTGGTTTGTTAGAATTTAAGGATCTACGTATGCGAAATTTAGAATGCTAAAATATAACGAAATAAATAAATTATTTACTTTAATCTACAAAACAAATATACAAGATTCTAGAACTCAACCTAACAGTACAATGGGTTGCGTATCTCATTAAAATAGGTGGGATGTTCACCAAATTTAAGGATTAAATTCTCAATTACTATCAACTAATAAAAACTAACATATTAATTATTATCCTCGTTAAAAATATATATATATATATATACAAGATTCTAATGTTATTAAGGATCATAAAAAATCATCATAATTCCACTTTATGTAAAACTTACAAGGATTAGTGCTAAGGGCAGTCCGCACTTGCACTCGCCAATCAACACCTCCCCATCTATTCGGCCACATCACCTTACCGTTAAAA